AATGAAGACTAAAAAACCCCCAAATTAATGTAATTATAAAGCACAGTTATCTAGCAAAGTACTGTGCACTCTGGAAGCTTTTTGTCTTTCCTTTGGGAATCCCTGGCCCTGGCTCAGCATCCTCTGCAGCATCCTGGCTTGGTGCCCAGCTCCTGTGACATCCAGTCCTTGGGCTGGGAGAGTGCCAGGAGCTCCCGTGTGCAGCTGTGGGGATCCAAACATCCCTGAGCTGTCCCAAAGCCCTCCTGCTTTGGAGGGCAGGAGACATGCCTGGAGTTTATCCAGCAGGGAGCAGTCCTGGAGCTCCCAGGTGTTCAAACCTTCCCCTGTCCTCAGGAGGTGGCAGGGCTGAAAGCTCAGGTAAAGCTTTAGGGAAAGGGACTGGAATTCCTTCAGCAGATGGACTGAGCTCATGAAGGACCTGTCCCAGGGAGTGTGGGCTTTTGTGAAGCACAGGGAGATGAAGGGATGGAGCATCCTTCAGTGGGAATGTCCCACAGCCCAGGAGGAAGCATCCCTGGAGATCCAGGGCTGGTGTTCCCCACCTTGGGAATGGGCCCCAAGGCAGAACTGCAGCTCCCAGGATGTGGTTCCTGCCTGCTGCAGCCTCAGGAGGGTGATTTGTAGGAAAAGCTGGCACTACTCAGTGGGATGAGCTGCTGGAGTGGCTGCTTCCAGGGGCAGGTGCATCCTCCTGAGCTGTGTGGGAATGGCTGCACTGATCCAGCCTGGGGGGGTTTGGGGTCATTTGGTGCCCAAACCCTATTTTGAATGCATGAAATTGCAGGGTACAGAGAGGACACTTGGGATGGGACAAGCTTTCCCTAACAGGTTACCCAGAGCAGCTGTGGCTGCCCTGGATCTCTGGCAGTGTCCAAGGCCAGGCTGGATGGGCCTTGGAGCAGCTGGGATAGGGGAAGGTGTCCCTGCCCATGGCAGGGGGTGGCACTGGATGAGCTTTAGGTCCCTTCAACCCAATCCATCCTGGGATTTCCCTTGTTTTCTCTTGCAGTCAGTCACTTTTAAAACCACCAGCAGGAACCTTGCCCGAGCCATGTGTATGAAGAACCTCAAGCTCACCATCGTCATCATCATTGTGTCCATTGTGAGTGTGGAGCTGCTGTGCCAGGCTGAACCCCTGGAAACTCCAAACCCCTGTCACTGTCCTGGGATCTTTGTGTGCCCAGCTCTGCCTGGGAGGGCAGAACCAGGGCAGTGCCTCCTGATGGGCTTGTATGAGGAGAGGGTGAAGGGCCTGGACAGTCAGTACTGCAGGGAGTGGCTGGAGGGCTCAACCTGGAGGAGAGGAGGCTCAGGGGAGACCTTCTGGCTCTACAAGCACCTGGAAGGAGGTTGTGATGGGGTAGGGATTGGCCTCTTCTCCCAGGCAAGTGGGGAAATGGGCTCAGGTTGCATTGGGGGGGTTCAGGTTGGATATTAGGAAAAATTCCTTCCCTGACAGCCCAGGGCAGTGCTGGGGTCACCATGGAAGTGTTCAGAAAATGAGTGGATGTGGCACTTTGTGACATGGTTTAGTGGATGTGAGGGGATTTGATCAAAGGTTGGACTCGATCATGGAGGTCTTTTCCAACCTTTGTGACCCTCTGAGAGGAGATGGGAGCGCTGTGTCCAGGAGCTGCCCCTGCTTGCCCCAGGAGCAGCTGAGATGCCCTGCTTGAGCTGGGGTGGCTTTTGAGCTCTCAGTCCTGCTGGGATCTTGTTCTGTGACTCTGAAGTGGCTTTTTTGGTGTGACAGTTCCCCTCCAGCCGTGAGGACTGTGGATGGAGCAACTGCAGGGTCAGGGTGAGAAGCACTTTGTCACCTCCATGGGGACAGTTCTCAGCTGCAGGGGTGGAGGGACAGGAGAGTGTTAGACAGGTTCTTCTAGGGTTTGACCATCTGGGGTTTCCAGGTCTGTGCTGTGGCAGTTAGTGAATGCTGGGAATCCCTAATTCCCTCCGCAGGTGATCCTGTACATCATCCTGTCAGCTGTGTGTGGCGGGCTGGCCTGGCCCAGCTGTGTGCAGAAGTAACTGGAGCTGGAGCTGCTCACCAGGAGATGAGGCAGAGTGTGAAGAAGGAACCTCCGGAGTGACTCCCGCCCATCACCACTGCCACCTTCCACCTCCCATCCCTCCAGGACTTGAGACTTTTTGCCTTATCACCCAGACAGACCCAGCTGGTCACTGCTCTGCAGTGACCTCAAGAGTGGGCTGGGTTAATTACTTGAAAGGATTTTTGTGTTCCTTTTGCTGTCCCAATGCCACCCCTGTGGAGGGTTCTGTGCATGCTGGCCCTGTGTCCGTGTGGCTTCCCCTGGGTGGGGACAGGAGTGGCTGCAGCTCTCCCACCTGGGATGGAGCTGTCCCACAGAGGAGGTTCAGGGTGGGCTGAGCCAAACTAAAAGGGACAGAGGTGGGTTTGGTGTTCCACAGAGCCTCTCCTGCACACCTGGCCACATCTGGTGGCTCCCAGTGCTGCACCATGGGGAGGTCACGGTGTCACCCTGGTAGGAACAAAGGGGGTCTGGGCTTTGTGCACTCACAGGTGGAGGTGCTGCTGCTGGGGACACCTCCCTGTTCCTGCAGGGATCCTGCAGGCAGGAGGAGGCTGTGGGGTCACCTCAGCATGTGCAATGGCTGCCTCTTCATCCTCACTTCTTCCTCATCTCCTCCTGGGCTGGTGGCTGAATGGACACAGCAACGGGGCTGTTTGCACACGGTTCTGGATCTGCTTCCTCACAGATGATTTCTCCTGCTCTTCTTTGGAGGGTGGACTGCAAAGAGTATAATTCTGGCACTGGCTACTGTGAATTTGGGGCCAATCTGGTTTGCTGAGGTGTCAGGGAGCTGCTGCTTGTGCTTCTCCTGGAAGGTGTGCGCTGAAACTGGAGGACAGAAAAGTGTTGGAGTTGGTGGTTGGTGACTTTCTCCAAGGTCTGAGGGAGAAAAGCTCTGCCAGAGGATGAATGTTCTCCTCTGGGAGGATTTCATACCAAACCCAAGGCTGGTAACCAAATGCAGGCTCAGGGGTGCTGTTTCTGTGCCAGCTGCACATCTCCATCCCAAGCCAGGCCTGGCTGAGGAGCTGCAGCTACGGGGGCCTGGGAAAGGGCTGGGGACACTTCTGTCCTGGAGCTGAGGGGCTCCTTTCCCAGGGGAAAAATGGAAACACGCTTCAGGGGGGAAGGAATCTGCTTTTGACCCAGGGAAGGCAAGGGATGGAAGGGGAGGCTTCTTTTGGTGCCTGAGCTGGAGCACAGAGTTGGTGCCATGAGGTCCTGGTGACACTGGCAGGGTGGGGAGGTGGCTCTGCTGCTCCTTCCCGTGTGGCACTGACCATGGAGCTTCCCATCAGGGCCCAGGTAAAGAGTTACAGTCTCCTAGGAACAATAGCTCCTTTGGATTTGTCTTCTGCTAGGCTGAAGTATCACCAAGGGTGATTGGATCTAGATATCCATGAAGTGCCAGTGGCCACTGGCACCTGCTTCTTTCTGTTCTGAATGTAAAGGTGGAGCCCCCTCCCTGCAGCTCCTGCAGCCCCAGGTCCAGCTGTGCATGCTTAGGGATTGTGCTGTACCATGTTCATTTGGATGATTTCTTGTCTTATGTACAAACAGTTTTTAAAGAAAACCCTTCCTTCTCGAAGATGCACTGAGGCATTAGTGTAAAAAACCATTACCTTGATTTCAATAAAATTCCTGTACAGAAAGCAGAGTTCCATAGTTCTGTGGAACACCTACCCTGGGAATGCTCTGTGCTGATGCAGGGGGAAGTTTTGGAAGAAGGCTCATGCTTGGGGATGAGGGAGTTCAATTTCCTCTTGGACTTGCAGAAATTGTTGGGAGTTGTTGATTGTTATCTCAGTTTGAGGCAAAGCTGCATTTTAATGGTATCAGCCAGGGCTTGGGATGATAGAGAATACTGGGAGCTCAAGTGAGATCACTTGGTATGAGAACAGCTCAGAAAAACAAAAGGATAAAATTAAATTAACAGCTCCAAGTGTGATGGTTCTGTCAGAGCTGTGCTGTGTTCCCTCCTGAAGTGGGACAGCCTCTCCCAAGTGCCTGTCAGCATCAGATTTGTACTGGAAACCTGAGAATCCAAACAAAATCCAACCTCAGCACCTTCCTGCTGCTCTGCTCAGCCTGGAACTGCATCCAGGTCTGCATCTCCACAGCCAGCCAGGCTGGAAAACATGGAAACAATCCCAGCTGTGTGAGAGGCTTTAACTGGGATGCAGCCTTCAACCAGTTAATATCTGACTCTTTCAGGAAGTTTCTGGTCTTCACCTGTTACATGTCCATGGAAGAGCAGCAGTGCTTGACTCAGGTGGGTGGAGAAAAGCAGTGCCTGGAAAATCCCCTTTGGAACACAGGGCACAGAAAAGGCAACAGGAGAACCCTCCAGTAACAGAGAAATCAGATGTTGCTGCTCTTTTACCTTTCTGTGCCCTGGGACGATCAGTGTGAGCAGGGACCAGCTGTGCCAGGGAGAAGTCTCAGAATAGAATGTTCTGGATGAGGGGAGAGCCTCAACAGGGCAGTGCTGGCACCCCATGGAGCTTTATAAGGGTGGGAGTGACACAGGGACAGGACAGCAGCTCCAGCTGAGCCTCCTGGGCCCCTTCTCTGCCCTGTGAGTGCTGCTGGTGCCAGCCCTGGCCTGGCAGGGGCTGGGTGGTGGCACAGGAACACTCCTGGGCCCCTCACAGCACTGTGGGCACAACTGTCTCTTCCTCTTTTCCTGGATCACAAGTTCCTGTGGTGCAGGAACTTCCCTGTGCTGCTTCCTGCCTTTGGTTCTGCTCAGGCCACATGTGGATGTTTCAGAAATGGCACGCACCTTGTCCTTCTGATCTCTGAGGAATTAAAGGTAAATCTCACTCCTTGCATCCTACCAGACTTTACTGAAGCCCTGTTTATCCTTGCAGAGCTCTTTTCTGTCAGAAGAAGCCTCCTTCGTGGCACAAAACTCACTATTGGAATAAAGCAGATCTATTTCAGCACCATAACATTTTATTAAACTACACTATCAAAGTCACATTGATGGCAGGGAGAACATTGCTATCAGTGCATATTTCCTGGACTAAGACTGTATTTGTAGCATCCAGCACTTGTGAGGAAAAGGACACTGGAACAAAATCCTTAAGAGACAGTAGAAAACTTCTACAAAAGTTAGGGCAGTTGGGAACCAGCTGAGATCTCCAACACTTCAAGACAAAGCTGTGAGGGAAGGGGATTTTTAAAAATTTACTCTTGAGTGGTGTTGAGCTTGCTCAGCTGAGGTAAGGTGCTGGTGCCCAGCAGTTTTTAACTGGCATCCCGGTCCCTGCCTGTTCACACCCCACACAAATATTGTGTACTGCTCCTCGTGACCTGTGCTGACACCTGGATACAACAGCTCAGTGTTCTACAGTTATAAAAACCTGCTGCAGCTCTAGACCAAACAATAAAAAGTAGCAGAAATACATTCTATACAGAAGTAAAAAAAAAAACAAAAAAAACCAAACCAACAAACCAAACCCAGTTGAATTCCAGACAAATACTAGAGTACATCAGGTTGGGTTTAAAAAGTCTCAAATCTAACACCTATGTCACTATTTCTACTCTCCACGAGCTCTGCCACAGCACCAGCTCAGAGCTGCTTCTGGCACTGAGAGGACACCCCCAGCTCTGCAGCATCCCTGGGAGGGGATGGTGACAGGCCTTCCCCCAGGGCTGCAGCTGGGGTGTGGATGAAATAAGGCTTTTCCAGTCTTCCTGGGAAGACTCAGGGTTCAGTGCAGGGTGGGAGCTGTCTGTCCCAGCCCTGGCTCCTGGCAGAGCAGAGAGAGGTGGGTGGTGTGGAGAGCACAGAATGAGGGATATGTACAGCAGTCTGCAGGGACAGGGGCTCAGGGCCTTTCCCAGTGAGGTCATGCCCAGCCAGCTGGGATCTGCTCCATGGAGGTGTTCTGGGCTGTCAGTAGCACCCATCCTTCCAGGAGTCGTCCTCAGGGGCCTGGGGAGTCTGTGCTGCCTGGAGGAACCTGCAGGGGACAAAACAACATGTCAGGGACAGCTCCAGGAAAAGCCCTGTAGTGGACACAGGTTTGGGGTTTGGGTTACCAGCATCTCCCTGCCATGGGTGAAGTGCTGCTGGCACACCCTGAGCATCAGCAAACACCAACTTGAAGCACTTTAAGAAATTCAGTGGCTATTACTGGATGCTTAAACACTGATATCTGCCAAATTAACACGGTTGTGACTTCAGCCCATGACTGAGTCCAAGAGAAATATTTTTCCATGCAAATATAACTGAATACACGAAAAATAATAGGTATGTAGAGTACTGATATAAATTTGGAAATTAAAAATTCCTTTTCATGTTTTTAAAGGTTTCAATGTAAGGCTCCAATGGGACATTAAAGAGCAACAAGTACTGGTCACTTATTAGTCTGATATCAGTCATATCATAATAACTCTCAATCAATTTAATTTCCCTCAATAACGAATTGTAGCATAACAGCTGTTAAAAAACCAGCAACAAGAACAAAAACTCTAAGTGTTGGGACACCACTCCCCATGCTCTGCTTTCACCCATGAAGCATGGCATGAAGTTACTACAATGCCAAAGCGATCTGAAGCCCCACTCACCTCCTGGACGGCGGCGTTGCCTTTCCCTTGGGCACGGCCACCCCTCCCACGCCCGGCCGTGCCTTCAGGGCAGAGGGTTTGGCCACAGTGACCATGGTGGTGGTTCTGGAAGTGCAACTGCTGCTGGGTGAGCCCGTGTGGAGCTGTGGCTTGCGGACTGGGGGGACAGGAGCCGTGTAGCTGCAGGGCTTCCCCACCTGCCTGCCGGGCAGCAGGGAATTGGCTCCCGAGGTCACCTTCCCGGGCTGGCGCGCTGTGAGCGGGGACTGCGCGGCCCCCGAGGAATACCTGAGCTTGCTGGGAGTCAGACCTGCAGGGACACAAGAGCGCCTCTGAGGGCTGGCTAAAGAGAGAAGGGAATGGAGGCCTGTGGGAGGTGTGGCACCGACCTGCTGACCGCTGCTGAGTCCTGGGGATGCGGCTGCTGGGCACCTGCAGGTCGGACTCCAGGCTGCGGCTGCTCCGCACGGCCTCGAGCGTGCGCAGGCTGCTGCGGGCCAGGTTGGGCATGCTGTGCCTCAGCTCCTCTGAAAGCAAACACAGCCTCAGCCCCCTGCTGCTGCTGTAAGGCTCTCTGGAGAAACCCATGCACTTAAAAGCAGAGCAGTCTGTACCTAGTTCTTAGCTTCCAGTAAACAGCAGTGATTTTGAGATCACAGGCTAAGGAGGTTGGAAGAGACCTTCATCCCATCAACCCAGCACCACCAGGATCATCCCTAAGCCACACCCCCAAGTGCCACATCCAGAGATGGTGACTCCACCACCTCCCAGGGCAACTCATTCCAAGGCCTGACCACTTCTGTAGGGAAACAATTGTTTCTAACACCTAACCTGAACCTCCCCTGGTGCAACTTGAGGTGTTACCTCTTCTTTCACTTGGGACACAGCAGAAGAGACCAACCCCCACCTGTCAGCTACACCCTCTTGTCAGGAGTTGTAGACAGCAGTAAGGTCTCCTCCGAGCCTGCTCTTGTCCAGACTGAATAACTGCAGCTCCCTCAGCCATTCCTGGTGCTCCAGCCCCACTCCCTTCTCTGGCCACACTCCAGCCCCTCAATGTCCTTTTTGGAGTGAGCGGCTCAGAACTGGACACAGCACTCGAGGTGTGCCCAGCAGAGGGGGCAATCCCTGCCCTGGTCCTGGGGCCATCGTTCTCTGGATCCAGCCAGTGTCCCTTGGCCTTCACCCCTGGGCACCTCACACCCAGTACCACCAGCTCCCTTCCTACTCAGCAGCACTGCAGGCCCCTTGCCCTGCAGGGGGATCCGTGTGCTCCAGAAGCCCCTTCCCTGGCTCAGATGGCGCTCACCTTCGCTGTTGGCATACTTGAGGCGCTCCTGCATGGGGCTCTGCACCGCCCTGCGCGGGGCGCGCAGCCGCGAGGCCGCGGCCCTGCCCAGCTCCGCGCCCGAGGAGGGCGACTGGCAGCGCGGGGAGCTCAGCGGGGACGGCGAGTAGCGGTGGGCGCTGCGCAAGGACAGCGAGCAGTCGCAGTCGTCCTCGTCCTCCAGGCTGTAGGTGTCGAACTCCTGGTCGCTGTAGGTGCCGCGGCGCAGCGAGTGCAGGGAGGCGCTGGAGCTGCGGCGGGACACGGAGGCGGAGCTGGAGGCGCAGTCCTGCCGCAGGCCTGGGGACACGGGGGACACGGGCAGCACCAATTCCAACAACACACCCCGAACTCCAAAGCCACGCTTTGGTTGTGATTTGTTTCACACTGGAAGGAGAGTCAGGTTAGCACCTGTCCTCCCCGGAATCCATCAGCGGGAACAGCGTCACCTGCATCAGCACTGGTTAATTACAGCACAATTAACATTCAGGGGACCTGCAGCGCTCCCTAATCCCGCCTGAGATTGTGGACATTGCCATCAAGCTCCAGCAGGTTACGCAGGTACAGGAGTCTAATTTACAGGTATGGAAGTCTCATTTAGAGGTTAAATCTTTTAGTTTAATTCATTCTGCACCTACCAGCATTTCAAAGGTGGAAACAAAGATTTCAAGTTTGCCTCCCGTGAAAACACACCTGCCTGGGTGGCAACTGGCTTATTTACAGCTTCTCACCAGCTTATGCCTTTATTTAAGTTTTCCCGCCTGACAATATACAAGCAAATGAAAAACCAAACAAAAAAAAAAAAAAAAAAACCAAACCCAAAAAACCCCAACCACCCAAAACAAACAAAAAAACTTACTCTCTTCCTGCAGCCGTGCCATGACCTGGACATCAGTGAGGTCCTGCAGTTTGTAGCCCATGGAGATGGAGTCGTCCGAGGTGCTCAGCTCGCTGTCCACCGAGGACTGGGAGCTCAGGGCCGAGTGCATGCTCAGGTACCCTGGGGGAGATGGACACAAGCCCAGTCAGACACTCACAAGCCCACCAGAAGCAGCAGGGATCTATCCCAGGAATTCAGCAGTGCAGCTGGGAGCTTCAGGTGCAGCGGTGAGAAATAAGAATTTAGAAATTCCAACGCTCAGATTTTAACCTGCAGTTTTCAGGTGCTTTTCCTCACAAGGAATGTGAGGCTGACTGGCAGGAAGCAGCTTGGTCAGTCACCATGTAAGAAATTCATTTTACACCTGAACTTCACACCTGTGTTCTCCATGCCAGCAGTTAGTTCTCTTCCAAGCTGGTTGAAGAAATCATGTTGGGAACCTGCTGCTTTTTCCTGCCTGCCTGGATTTGATCACAGCTAGAAAGGGCTGCTCAGCTTTGATGGCAAATGGTTTATTTTAACATCACTGCTGAGTATTCAGGAGGTGCCCTGCCTTCAAATCTTCTCAGAACATGGCAGGAAAACTCTGAGCTTGAGGATTCTCAGATAATACAGTGACACAAGCGTGGCTGCACGTTAAAGGTTCATCTGGGTGTATGCTACATACATACACTCTCCAAGTCAAGATATTCCACTATAAAATCCCATTTCTTTCCTCCTGGTGTCAGGAAAAGACTGTAAGAGTTGAAATAAATCCATCCTGAGCAGGGCTTGCACCTGTAGGATGTGGTGGAATGAACAAGCACAGGTTTCCTGCTGCAATTAACAGCACCTTCAACACTGATTGAAAATCCAGCTGGACCTTGAGACCAGCTTCCTAAAAGGCAAAACTCCCAATCCAACTTTGTTTAGTTTGGCTGTTGCACTTCGAACTGAAGGTCTAGTTAAAAATAGCCACAGAGGGGAAAAAACTGCTCCTTCTTCCATCAGTAAAGCTGAGCTGATGATGGTTTTCAAACAGAAACCACATTTGGGCTTTGTCAAAGGGGTTGGTTTGGTTTTCAAGAGAAGTCACTGTTAAACATTTTCCATTTGAAGGGTAGAAAAGCCGTTTTTTCTTGGAAATAAAATAAAATTTGGGTCAGTCAGGTTGACAGGAAACTTGTAACTTGTCTTAGCACCAGCACAAGGCACAGGGAAGAGGCACCTGAGATTAAGTGAACTCATCATGCTCTGAAGGGACAGAGCCCTGCCCTTCCACCCAGCACATCTGCAGAAGCCAAAGACACTTTGGTTTTCCTCATCAGAAGCTGTTTCTGGGTGAAAAGATGCTCAGACACCTGGACTGCCCCCCAACCTCATATGAAAAACGAGGAATTGCCTTAGAGATGTTTCCCTGCAGAGCTCAGCTGGCAAAAATCCTCAGTCCTACGTGCATCCTTTTGTTTGCAAAACAGAGATAAGTGTTAAATTCTATTTATAGCAGAAAAATCAGACCTCAAAAACAAACCTGCACCTGTGAAAACAGCCACAGGCAACCCTCCTTCTTTTTTCAGAGACGAAAAAAGTTCATTTAACATCAAGTTTGGAGGCAGAGACTGTTAAACATGCTTTGTGTTTTAAAACATGCAAAGTAGGGTTTAGCAATTTCCACACAAAACAAACAAATAAGGACGAGTCCTTTGATAACAGAGCCAAGAGGCAAAGCCTTTGTGCTGGGAACTGCACCAAGGATAACAAATGGAGCTCCTGGAAGGGTGTTCCTGACTCCTCAGGCACAGGGAGGCTGCAGGCCACAGCATTTTGGAGGAGCTTCATTACCAGACTGTAACAAGAGTCGTGGCTGAGCTGCCTCTGAGGTAGAGAATCTTCTCCACACACAATTAAGGCTGAAGGAAAACTTTTGGTATTTTGTCTTAGCTGCCCACTCAGGCAATTGAAGGCTTTACCCTGGAGACTTTGGCAGCTTTTTGTTCCCTGCATTAATCAATATTCCCCAGAGAAACCTTCCCCAGAAAACTGAATCCAAGTGACTCTTTAAAGATCACATCTACAGTCTACAACATTATTCAAGAGCAATATATTTTTGCCCCAACAGCTGTTTTCTATTTTAAGCCACTTAAAATTAGTACAATTTATAAACCAATATATATATACAGAGAGAGAGAGAGAGAGAGAGAGAAAAGTAGAGAAACCCAAACCAAGAAATAACTACAGGACATTTAGAATGCAAGGAGGTTTTCTCCCACACAAATGAAACCTGGGTGAGGAAGGGAGCAAACGAAAAGGGGAAAACACCACAAGTGGCCACGAGAACTTTTCCCTGTGCCAATCCCTACCCCTCCTTGCATTTTAAAGAGCCCAGTGCTGCAGTGCCATGCCATACCTGAGCTGCCACAGGTTAGTAGTGCTTTGTTAGTCGATTTGAGGTGCCCAGGAGAGTTTAGTGCATTGCTACAGGAGCCTGCCTCGGAATTCAGGTTATGTGCGCTGGGAGATGCCAGGGGGCTGCAATACAGGTTTTTCCATCTACTGGCTAGAAGGAAAAATACAAAAAATCCACAAAGGTTAGCAAATTATTTTGGAAACAGAGAGCACGATCAAGAACAGGATTAAATTCTGCAGCAGAGGTCCTTGGTGCTCCGTGCCACGCTGCAGGGAGCACAGCAGTGCCAGACCCCACTCGTGTCCTTTAACTGCTTCTGTCCCCTCTGAAGAACTCCAAGAGTAACTCCTGTCAAGCCTGGCTTTGAGGAAGCCATACATTTCACAAAGTTCCAGAGCTGGATGGATGACTATTTCCATCAGTATCTGCCACCTCTACACCCCCTCATTTTAGAGAGCTCACTGAACTTTATGTTACAAGTGTGTTATTCTGAATTTTTGTGATGGAACAAAGAGACTATTAAACCACAGAAACTATGCCAATCCAATAAAATAAAATAAATAAAACAAATAAAACCCAACTCTTTGAATTAAACTCGTTCAGCTCGCACACACTCATGTTCATAAATGAACCAAAATCAGCAGGTGGCAAAAACAAGTGCCCCCATCCTTACTGGAGGTGGAAATGAGCAGCTACAACACTGAGGAAATTACTCACACCATGATCTGGAGATACTCAAGGGGCTGCTGAACTGCCCACAGAACTCAGTTCTCCCTACTGTGAGAATACCAGCTAGTATAACGAAGATTCATCACATTAAGTTCTCTTTTTTTATTTCTCCCACAAATATTACCAGGTCAGACCAAGTACAACTGAAGTCTGATACATTTCAGAGAGAAAAGAAGTAATCAAATAGATTTCTTTCAAATTTCTAAGCACAGATGGTTTATGAAAGCAAATGAAGTTTGTTCTCAAAGTCTATTCAGTTATCTCCAATCAGGAATGCCAAGGTTCAACTCAAGAGTAGCCTGAGATCTCAAGCAGTGCCAAACACTGTTAGAATGAAAACTAAAATAACCCAGACCAAGCCCCAGAGCAGTGATCTCAGACTCCAAACCACAGAGCTCAAATTGTTGGTTAAAGTGAAATCAGAATTTCTGCATTCCCATGGAGACAAACCCTCAGACACCAAGGTGGGGACCCAGCTGGGGCTGGATTCCAGAGCTCAGGGATATCCCTGAGCTTCCAAACAGTGATTCTCTCAGAAGTGTCACTTCTCCACACACAGCTTTTGTGTCTGAAGGTTCCTCAGTCCAACTGGACAGAGGAGACTGCAGCACATGTCTGCCATAAACCTGCAGCTGCAGCAAGTCCTGACCAGGAGCTGCATGAGAGGGAATCCAGAGAAGGTAGCAAATAGTTACTGATTTCTTTCCAACCCCTCAGGGTCCAGGCTGTCAGGACCTCAGTGTCCAGCCCATTTTACACAAACCTGGGGGCCATTTGGACTGACACAGACAGGATATGCACCAGGTGCACTGCAGGTGATGCAGGACAGAGGCAGGAGCAGAATAAATTAATTTTTGTACTGTGAACTGCATCTCCCACCACTGAAAGCCCAGGTGGAAAAGAAAAGCCCCAAATCCAGGCCCCAGAACACTGTCTGTGACCAGAGATGTCCCCACTGCACACAACATTCCAGGTTTTCACTTCAGGCAGATGCAATCAGGGATTTCCCCTCAGGATTAACACAGCCCACAGCCACCAGGAAGTGCTTTTAGGGGATGATAGACTGGAGGAAAAACCTGGTTTCCAAGTGACACCATTTCTTCAAGGTTAGTATTTCACTGTTGTAAGCTTTGAGCAGCAGACAATTTTTTCACCCAGGTAAAAGCAACTGGGAAGATCCAGCAGGAATATCCAGCAGGATATCCAGAGGAAGAATCACCACCACTAGGAACACGAAGCACCAGGAGTTCTTCTCCAGAAAGAAGCTGCAAGAACAGCTTGCCATGGCTCTCTCCCCACTCCCCAGCAGCACATTTTTTCCTCTACATATTTCTTACATTTAAAAATGTTTAAATATTAACAAAACTTAAAAACTCAAGAGCCTGACAACACTAAGCTCAATTTTCTTGCTTAGAATGAGATTTGCAAGGGAGCCCAGAGCAGCAGAGGCTGCAGCTGCCCTACCTTGGTCCAGCCTGTTGATGAGGGTTCTGCAGGCAGCCTCAATCTCGGGGCTGGGGTTATCCAGCACCTGCCGGCACCACTTCAGAGGAGAGGCTGTTTTCTCATCCATGGATTTCCTTGGAGACACATAGAGCCTTTGCAAGGATTCAAAGGAGACAGGAAGAAATGCTCATTAATTCAAAGCATACAGCTACCAAAGTGGCATTTGGTAGAGCGTAGCCATCAGAAACCAACAGTTAGCCAAATTAAAAATTCAGGTTTAAATTTCATATTATGACTCAGAAAGAAAATTTACTGCCACAACAGGAAAATCAATGGCTTCACAGAGAAACCTACGGGCTCTGCAATGCAAGGTGCCATCCTAGGCTGTTGCAACACTGCTGGAAATGAAGTTGTTGGAATACTCACCTATCTCTCCCTCCATTCCCCTCTTCCAAACCCCACCCCCTCAGAGGCAGTGAGGGTGTGAGGTGCTCCTAACTTAAGCTGCAAGGTCATCTCCTTCCAGGAGTTCTGATTTTTGTTTAAAACCCTCAGAATGTGTCCTCCCAGCTGTGTTCTCCCAGCAGCTCTGAGACAGCCAAAGGTGCATTCCCAGATTCCAGGGATAAACCCCTTCACTGGAGGATTCAGACATTCCCAGACAGGCAGGAAGTGTGGCTGTGCTTTATCTTCCCTGCAATGTCAGATAAATTCTCCTCCAGCCTAAGTGTCTGCCACATCTCTGACACCTCCATTGCTTTGCATGGACACCCAGGATTATCCTTAGAGATAGACAGATTTAATCACCTTGAACTCCTGGATTATTTACAAGAGATTGGGTGGAAAGCAACATCTTCACCAGATTTCCAAAGCAGAACATTCCTCTGAGGAAAGGTCAAAGCTGGAAGAGCCTCTGCTATAAAAGCAACTCAAGTACTTTATTTACACATCCCACATTTGTATTTTTAAAAGCAAAAAGCAACTCCCTATTTTTTAATGTTTTTGCTGTTCAGCAACACCTTCATAACTTGTAAGGGGAAAGAAAAATCAGTCCTTTGCACATCCAAAAGTGAAACTCTTTTTAATTCTTGCAGATCACTTGGAGAACACCCTGGTGCAGACAGCAGTGAGACCTTGACCTAGATCTGGAGCCTGACGGTCTTCAAGGTCCCAGCCAGCCCAAATCCTTCTGGGATTCTGTGATTTGTGGACATCAGGTTTGGCTCTCAGGTTCCCCCTGTCCTGAGGCTCTGATGAGCTGCTGGCACAGCCTTCAGCTGCCCCCTCTGCACCAGAAAACCCCCAGCAGCAGCTCCAGGAGCTCCTGGGCCAGCCGGGAGCTCTCCCATGCACACAATCGCACAACTGCTGCTTTCCCACCAGCACCTCCCTCTCCTGCTGCTCCTTCACCTCAGGAACTGCTCCCAGGTGACAAAGAACCCTCCTGGTCACCTGCAGCCACACCTGAGCATTTATGGTGTTCCCAAAGCTGGCCTCACTGATGCATCCAGAGTATTTCACCTTCATCAGGCTAAAATCCAGTATTTAAGCATCACGTAACCGTGGGGGTGGAGTTAAGATTTCAAGAGATGTCTGCCTGTGCTTCAGTTGCCTCCTCCTCTCTCCAACTTCTGCCACTCCTGCAGCAAGGTACACAGAGCCTTTCTGCTCCAGTTACTCTCCAGAACTGTGGTTCTCTCACAACCAGCTCAGACCCAACCCATAAAACACTGATTTCCACAACAAAACTGCTGTAAATCAGCAGGAATGTCAGTCATTATCCCACTCATTCCTGAAAACCTAGGTTTAAAATACGGAGCAACACTGTGGGATTCTCAGCTGTCAGGTGTCCTGGCTGTAACACCAACACCTGGCCAAGACAGAACATAAACAGCTGGGATATTTACAATATTGTACAGGTCTGCCTGACCTACTGCCCTGGCTCCTGTCCTGGAACCAGGCTGGGATAACATGGAATGCAGAAAGCAACACTACCCAGACCTGGCCATTTTTGGGGCCATGAGATGGAGCATCACTGCATGCAACAGCTCTCAAAACACTGATTTGTTACCTGCAGAAGGACATTATTCCCTATTTTTTCCCTCCTGACACACCACTCCTGACTTGCCAGTCCTGCCTCTGGCCAGAGGCATCTTTTTCAGGGAACAGACTCAGCCTCTTTAGTCACAACTCACACAGAAGCTCTTCCCCACCAAGGTTTGCACAAACCCAAATGCAAATAAAAAAATCCAAAAGCTAATTTGTTATTGACAAAATAAATGCTGAGGAATGAATGCAAATATTCCTGACTCTCCCAAGGTACCTCTCAGGGCAGACCCCCCAGCCAATCTTGCTGCATTTCTTCATGGATAAATGAGCATTACAAGCACTCAAATCCAATCAAACCCAGGAAGCAAAGTGCTCCCTCTCCCTGGATTTACTGTGCAGCTCAGACCACAAAAGGAGCAGTAAAATCATCACACAAAAAAGAGGCCAACAGCCTCCTGAGGGCAGGTCAGGCTGCTCTGCACATATTCCAGGTTAAGGGAGAGAATCCTGCCCTGCTCCCAGCAGTTGTTCTGCCCAGCTCCTCACCCTGTTTCCACCCAGGAGCATCCCAGCTGAGGATGGCAACACTTGTTTGCTTCCCAGAGCCATTCCCACATGGAGCAAAGCTGTGGAGTCCTCTGGGCTCTGCCAGAGGACTCTGATTTTTTTTTTCTGCTGACAAGTCCATTGGCAAAGAAGCTCTCACAATTTCCCCAAACCCAATTAAGTGAACACAGCTCAATTCTTCACAGCACTGACAGGCAACTTACTAAAACAAAAGGAATTCTGGTTTGATTTCACAGCACCAGGGTTCCCATTTTCCTTCTGCAGGAGCTTTGGGAAGGGCTCAGCACCCTGACTCCTCCAAAGGAGCTGGCACAGCACTAAACTAAAAGCACCAGCCCCTCAAATATGAGTGTGAATATTTCTCTGGACATATTAAGAGCCAGAAGTCAGCTTTTCCTAGGCTCAGGAAAGTCCAGTGACCAGTGTCACCCACCAGAGGTTGACTTAACCCAACCTTACATCCAGGGAACTAAAACCTTGGAAAAAGGGGGGTGTGAAAAGCTAAAAATTCTTGGCTGTAAAAACACTCAGATTTTTTTTCTTTCTGGCACTTTCAGCCTCCAGGTGTTTGATTTGCCAGGTGAACTGAATCCCAGGAGCACTGGAAAAGCAGGAGCCACCCCAGAGTCAAGCAGAGCTGAACAAAGCCCTGCTCAGGACCAAGCCTTACCCTGCAGTTTGTTCCTCCAGCTCAGCAGTTTGGGTGTTCTCTCTAAATGTCTCTGAATGTTTTCTTTTGTCAAATTGCAAATGAAAATCGGTTATTTAGATACTTACAAGGCCTCATACAAAATGCACAAAGTAAACATTTGGGCAGATATTCCCAGTTTGATGTATTGGGGGGTTGTTGTATAAATTATTAAATACAAATGAGATTTTCTTCAGCTTCTAGGAGGAAACCTTTCAATAATAAAGTATCTTTACTTTCTGCTTACTAATGTTTGTGTTTACCCAGTAAAACAGAGTATTTTGTGACAAACATCTCTGGTAAGGACCCAGTGCCACAAGGATTTTTCTTCCATTAAGTTGTAGCCATTCACAAATAAATTTGTGATACACCCTGCATTTTATTCTGACATAATCCAGAGCACTAAAACCAAGGAATATTCCAGAGATAGTATTTCCCTTATGGAATCAATGTCACAGAAGGATTTACAGGAGTTAATGGCCACAATTGCTGGATTTTGAAATTCCTGCTTTAAAAAACCCCAAAACCCAAGAATGCAGGAAACACAACTTTCTCAATTTGCACAATGCACTGAGAAAAAGCATCCTCACACTGAAAAACTGATCAGAGCAGCTCTAAGAGTGAAAGCCTGAGAATTTTAGATCCTGCTCATCCAGAGTATCTGCAGCAGAAATTTATAAATTGTAAGAGCAGAATTCAGGCTGCAGAAGGCTCTAGAACCAGTGCATTAAGAAATTAAACTGAGCGTAAAGCAAAGCCCATTTCTGAAGACACAGCTTGGGTCATTATCCATCTTCCAAAGCACTTGGCACCAGTGTCTGCAGCAGCTCCAAAAATGGCAATCACTGCACTGATTTGCAGACCTTTGAGTTATACACAACAAAGCAAGGATAAGGAGACCTCAAATAGCTGAGAGTGTTCAGAACAATTCAGGTGTATGAAATACACCTCCTTCAAGTGCTAAAAGGCAGCTGAATTCCTCTCCAAAGCATGGATTTCAAACAGGTAATACATTCATCTTCCTTTCCTTTACATATCAGACTTCAGAGAGCTGATTTTCAGATTTAGTACTCTGCTTATGCTGTGCTAATCTCAAATCTAAACACTCCTGCTGTACAGAGATCCTAACACAGACAAGACTGGAGTAGAAAGCCACAGTGAAACAATATTATCCAGGTTCTGAAATGACAGAAACATAAAAGGAAAAAATGGGAGAAATTCTGTGGAGAACACTCCATACAAAAACATTCTGCTGTTAGCCCAAGGAGAGGTCTGAGATTTATTCCTAAGAAATTGCAAAGAGAGGGAAAAATGGCACTGCAAAGACACTTTCTCATGTCTATTTAGGGACTAATCCTGCCGAACAAAACACCCAAAAATCAGTCCCCAAGTCAGAGCAGCTCTAAAGCTCACGTTAAATTAATCTCCTGACCCAGCCAGCAGCCCATACAGTGATGACAAGGCAGCTGGGGTGCAGCTCCAGAGTGCTGCTGTGAACACACACACACCCCAGCACTCCTGCAGCAGCAGGGCCAGCCTGCTCCCCACCTCTCTGGCACTGACACTGAGGACTTCCCTGCCCACCCCTCATTTTACAGAAGTGTGAGGAAGAGGAGCCACAGCCTGGAGCACTTCCCAAGGCCTCAGAGCCAGGAGAAGCCAGGCTCTGCCATCAGAAGCAGTTCCACCTCCTCCCAGGCCGAGCTCTGCACGCGATGTCACCACCGGGCGGGCTCTGCCTTTCAGCTCTGCCACACAGGGAGGTGCTGGGGACACTCCCGCAGAGCTGCACTGGGTTCTGAAGCAGCTCCTGTACCCAGAGATTGCCCCAGCAGAGCAGATGTCACCCAGCACAAACCGGTAACACTCTCCTCAAACCAGTCAGGAAAGGTTAGAAGTCACTTGTGCATTATTTAATGCAACAGTGGTAAAAACACCTGATAAAATGACCAGTTTGAGAGAACAAGACCTTGCAAATCGCTGTTTCTAAGTCATGTAGATCTTGTCAGCAGCACCCTGTCACCAGGAGAGATCCCAGGGAAGCTACAACAGAGCCTGTGAAGGGTATAAATGGATGACACAGAGACACTCTGTAAGTAACCTTCTCCCCCAGGCTGGAGGCACAAGGTGCTGCACTGGTAGAATTCCCGGATTTTGTGCAGCATCATATCCTCACTTGGTGGAACTTCCCCAGAATTTCTCTCCCTATTTCTGATGGTACAAGCAGCAATGATTTCCTCCAGTACATTAAAGACTTAAACATGAATATAGAAGAAGGTGACTGGACACAGAGCTAAGGCTGAGAAATTGCATACCCAGGAAACTCCTGCACTGGCATTTCTGAGAGCAAAGCACGCTCCTGCTCCTGCAAACACCAACTCAAGGGCTCCCCACTTGCTGTGCTGAGCACGGATTCAGGCAGGCGACAACACAACACTGAGGAGAAGACAGCATGACCCAGTTTCAGTCCAGAGAGACTTTTGAGAATGAGAGCAGCAACTCAGGGATTCACCTGAGTATCAGGGATTCCTTCTTCTCCTCACCTCATGGAAAACCCCAGAATGACAAATACTGGGGAACACAACCAGTGTAATGCTATCAGCAGCAGATCTGGTTTGTTCCCTGGGTAAGAGGGAATTTGGATAAAAGCCTTCCCAAAACAGCTCAGGAGTTGCCCTGTGCTCGAGTCCACGGTGAGCATCACAGAGCTAGCTCCTCAGTGCCAGAGCCCAGCTCCATGGGATTGGTCTCCAGGATATTTACAATTTTGAGCAGCTATTTGAGAAAGGGAGCTGAGGGAGCAGCTGAGGCCAGGCAGGCCAGGGCAGAGTTACAGGAGCTGGGAGTGGGCTCTGCCTCGGGTTTCACACAGCTCAGTCGCTGCAAACACAGCTCCAAAACACAACCTCAGAGCTGCTGAACCAGGCGAGCTGCACAGCAACTTCTGCAACTTCCGGCTGAATAAAGAGAATAATTTCAAAACAGAGAAGGGATTGAGACTCCACCTGCACTCTGAGCACTCCATCCTCCTTCCAAGGAAGAAGGATGTACAATATTTTTAAAAGGATTGCAAATGCACAATACACTCAGCTAGTCCCTTTGGATTTGCTCAATCCAGGCAGCACTAAATTCCCCCCATTAGCAAAGCCACCTTGTTAGAGCTGATCCTAAATTCACAGAGAATTAAGGGCATTTGTGGGTTTTCTTTTTGTTTGTTTTAAGAAAACCCTCCCTCCCCTCCAAGCAGTTTACTGGTTCTTGCTGTGGGAAAGCACAAACACCTGCAGGGGCTGCATGTGGGATGTGTTTATGGAGACAGTTTGGGATATTTGGCAGTGAGCACAGGCACTATTGATTGTACACAGGATTCATTCCCCACTTTCGGAACAAGCTCCAGAACAAGAAGCCACCACTAAAAGCAGCTTCCTGTTTCAGCAGGTTTGTTTGACAAGAGGAAAAGGGAACAGATGGAAGTGATGCAGCACAATCAAAGATAATTTATGGAAACAGCACTTGCACAAGTGCCCTGGATCACCACCCTTATCCAGCTCCTCAGGGGCCTCTTTGTCACAGGTTACCCTGTTCCAACCAAATCTGGCAAGAAAACAAAGCAAACAAACCCACAAGGATCCTACAAGGTGCAGAGTGAAGGGTACCTGGGAAAGAAGGGCCTTACCAGCCACCAGCTGAAGGAAAGGTCAAAGAACAGAACTCCTGAGCACAGAATCTCTCCTGATTTCACTGGGCAGCATCCCCTGCCTGGGTAAATCTCAGCCTCTGAGACTCAACAGAATTTGAGGACTCTCCCCTGTCACAGGCTCTAAAAATGTGAATATAAACTTGGCTGCTTCCATTAACATGGAAACAAAGCTAGTCTTCCATATGCAACCCGTTAAATATATTCCCTTATATAGTTATAAGAAATCTGCTCAAAATGCTGTTTAGGTACACTGAAGAGTTCCACTGATCAAGTTAGAACCAGTATTTGAGTTTTAAAAGTACACTTGCAAAGAAAAAAAAAATCATGTTTTAAATGTAACCTCAAATTCAGGCTGGAGCTGATACTATGACCTCAATGAGCTCCACTCCATTAACAAAAACTTTACCTTCCCTTCTAACAGCTAATGAATGTTTGGAGCTGAAGGTTTGGTTTGTGTTCAGCAGCCCTGTCCTTGCTGCCAGATTAATCTGGCTACACAAATTTGAAACCCAATTTGCAGAGCCCTGAGGCTCTTACTCCCAAGTCTTACAAATTAACAACTCCGGGTAAAATCTCAAGTCCCAGCTATTGCAGGAGCTGGAATCAGCCTTGAATTTTACATTTCCCTTGCCCTTCCAAAGGTTGTTAATTTACTGATTTATAAAACGAGTTTTAAACAAGGCTGGTGGTGGAAGGGAGAGTCCCAGAGAGTCGGGTCAGTTAAGGATTACATCATTGATCTGGTTCAGCTCATGTCTCTGAACAAAAGAGGTGCTTAACTGGAAAGAAACAGCCTCCAGGAGCTGGGAATGGTTTGTCTCCTCAGGTCCTAGCAAAAGCCACAAATTCCAGATGGTCTAGGATTCTTATTGACAAAATTGTTATTAAAATATGATACTTGACAGTTGTGTACAAGGTTTAAAAGCTCCATTATTCATTCATCTGCATGTGCTATATATAACTAAACTTAGAGGGAAAGGAAGCAGTAGCTGGAAGAAGGGGGAAAAAACAGCACCTACAGGTAAACTTATTTTTTTTTAAATAATGGTCTGGCACAATGGACATAAAAATAAGAACAGTCACTAATGAGAACTGCATTCTTGCTGCTAAAAACCCAAGTCCTGTCGAGAAATCAGTTCATAGCTTTAAAGGAACTGCTCACCTAACCACAGCACGTCCCTCTCCCCCAGGCCTGGGGGTACCTACCAGCAATCCTCCTCCTCGGGGCCATTTTCCAGTTCTAACACTTTGACTTCATCCAGATCTGTGTGACTCGGAAGCCCCTCTAGATCTGCACCCTTTTCACTGGGATTCTGTTCATGGATTGCAGCTGGGGTGTGGATCCCTGCCATGAGCAGGCTGCCCAGGAGCTTGGAGCTGTCACTTGTGTCCACAGGTGAGGGACACTGGCCATTGTTGTGGCTCTGCTCCCCATTGGGAGACACCTCCTCGGGGGCACTGTTGCAGCTGTACTGCATTGGGGCATCCAGGGCTCTTCTGAAGTTGTTCTCTCCTTCCTCCTGCCTCATCTTGCTCAGCTGGCTGTGCAGATCTGCCATCAGCTGCAGCTCCTGCTGCTCGGTGATGGCGTTGATGCTGTTGTTGATCTCCATCCCGTTGAGGCTGGGCTCGTGGTTATCCACCCCAGCACGGATGTCCCCGGGCACACCTGTCCCCAGCAGGGTCCTGCTGCTCCTGCTCCTGGCGTGCTGATTGTCCAGCTCCAGCCTCCGGACCAGCTCCCGCAGCTTCCGCACCTCCGGGCCCACATCCTCGGGGGGCTCCGTGCCCGGGCCCATGGCCGAGTGCTCGGCGGCGTCTCTGCCCAGGGCTGGCTCCAGAGCGGGGTCCTGCTGGATCAGCGGGGCATTCCCGGGCACCACCATCCTCCAGGACGCCCTGTCCCACTGCAAGGCACCAAACACAGCAAAGATCCACAAGAGTTTTAGCCAAATGGAAATAAACACCGAAAATCCTGGCTTTTATAAGCACCAGCTAATTACACTGGGGTGGAAGGTGTCCAAATTTCATCCAAACCCAAAAAGAATGACTGAAATTAGGGCTGAACATTGCAAAGCCCACAAATTCCTCTTTCTGAACTGCGAGGATGTGCACCTGTTCTGAATCAATGAATTTAATAGAAGGAAGCTGATTTAATCCCCACAATAGTTTAGTTTCCATCTGTTTACCAACAAAATACTTGAGAAAAGCACTGATGGATCAAAGTCAGGAAACATCATGAACAAGATGCTGACGTCAGACAACAACAGCACCAAGAAAATGGTGAAAACATCCTTTGTTCGTTACCAGGTTTATCCTGGAAAAGCAGAAAAAACTTGGAAAGATTTCTGTATCACCTTATGCCAAAGCAACAACAGGAACTGCAGCTACTGTGGTACATGAAAATAAGATTAAGTAACATTTTTACTGGTGTGTTTTCCTGTTAAAATTGAAAAGAGAGGGGTGGAAACAGGGAAAAATAAAAAATCCCAACTTGATTACATACTCCACTAAGTCAAAAAACTGTAAAGTGCATTTCACACTAGTTTTACAACATGAGCAAACACTGCTTTTCCCCTCCACTTGATTTACATCAGTTCTCAGTTTCACTGGGCATGTTCATTTCCAAACTGACTCTTCACTGAAAATGCCTGATACTGAAAATCCCTTAATTAGCAGTCCACAGAGCAGTAAAACGGGTTAAAAGTCAGAAATCCTCTCCATTTTGCAGGAGGGCAAACTGACAGAGAAGAGGGAGTGAGTCAACACAGCCAATTCAAAGTTGAAAAATGTATGCACTTGTTACAACTGCAATCAAACCCTGACTTCTTGTGGCTGTGGATGCTGTTCCCCCTCCCTCTGCTGCCCGAAAAAGTCATTTGTTTTTAAGTGTCAGTGGGCAAAGGAAAGCACAAAAACTCAGTGTCACACAAAGCAAGGTTACAGACACCCCCATAAGTACCTCAGCATCTCTCTATTATTTAGGCACTTGTAACAGCAATAGCTGGGTACAATTCTTTAAAAATATATTTTGTTTTGTTAGGGATTTTTTACCTGATTTTTAAGTGTTATTTTGGTGCTCTATCTGCAAGATAGAAATGTTCAACTTCCACTTGATTTAATAAAAAAATACAAACAGCCCTTAGGAAGAGCTGTGAGGAACAGAGCACACCTTCCACCCATATTCCAAACCCGTGCCTGTAAGCAGCACTGCTGAAGGCATTCTGCCTTGGGGAAAGGAATTTTACTGTGGAGTTACCAAGCAATCCCATTCCCACCCATGTGCCAGCTTCAAAAAGCTCCTCACATGGATTCCCACTCCTGAAACCCACAGGATCCCCTCGGGTAACTGCACCGTGTGATTTCCAAGGAGATCTCCGAGGAAGGAGCAGTGTGGTTCCCAGAGATATCCCAAAGCTCAGCAACTCTGAGGATGCACCAGCGGAGTTCCACTGTCCAAGCAAAACAGTGGCTCAAGGAGGGGAATTAAGGAGATGGGTCACCCAAAAAATCGGTTCCCTTTCAAGGGTGAGGAGCTGCAAAAAAAAATTCACGTGAGGAAAACACACGTTGAGGGGGAAGAGCAGCTGAAAAGCGTTCAGTCTTTCCCCACAGCCACGAAGTCTAAAAACCACCCCAAAAAAAACCCCCAGCAAAGACACGCGGGGGAAGAGATACAAACCTGTGAAAGTTAATTTCATTGTGCATCGGGGGGAAGAAATAAAACACGTTTAGAAGAAGGCAAAAAGGCGGCAGCCGTGAGCGGGTCGGAGACAATAATTCGGAGTTCGCCGAGCAGACATCCGGGTGTCTCACCGAGGGTAACGGTCCCTCACCCCCGGGGCTGCCGGGGCCAGCGGGGCTCGGAGGCTGCAGGGGCTGGGAAGGGTGAGCAAGGGGACTGTGGAGGGGCTGGGGGAGCTGCCATGGGGTCGGGGGCGTCTTAGGGGCAATGATGGCCATGGGGCTTATGGGGGTGCAGGCTCTGGGGAGGCTCTCGGGGGCTCTGAGAACCAGGGGGTGGCTATGAGTGGGCTCTGATGGCCATAAGACTGCGTGGGGGAGTTCTGGGGGGCAATGATGGGCGTGGGGCTGTAAGAGCTAGAGGGGAAGCTCTAGTGAAGGGGCTGCGAGGGCTGTGATGGCCATGAGCACTGCGAGAGGGCTCTGAGAGGCCGGGGGGTTGTGATGGCCGGGGGGCTGTGGCAGCTCCGTGCAGCTCCAAGAGCCGGGGGGTGAGGCAAGGGACGGGCTGAGGGTCTGTGGAGGGCTCCGATGGCCGTGATGGGGGCGCGCGCTGTGCGGCACCGGCGGACGCGACCCCCGCGGGGGGCACGGGCGCGGCCGGTCCGCACCGAGCGAGGCAGAGCCGAACGCGGCGGGCACCCCTCCCCCTCGGACGGTACCTGGATGGACGGACAGACGGCCGGACAGGCGGATGGCGGTCGGTCGGAGGGCGGGCGCCCGCCCGGTCGGTGCCGGTGCCGCCTTTCTCCGGCGGCTCAGCCCGGCCCGCGAACGGCGGGAGGCGCCGCCCCCACCCCTGTGTGGGGAACGGGGGATGGGGGCGCTGCGCCTGCGCGGGGCCGCCTGAGGCGGCGGCGGGCGGGGGGCGGCCCGGGGAGGGAGCGCGGGCAGCCCCGGGTGAGGGGCACGGGAGTGAGGGGAGAAGGGCGGGCGAGGGCAAGGGGTGAAGGGAAGTGAGGTGGAATGGCGGTGAGAAGGGGAAAAAGGGGATGGATGAGGGGGGAAGCGGGGAGTGATGATGGGAAAGAGGTGAGTGGAGTGAGGGGGATGTGGACGTGAGTGAGGAGGAAAAGGGATGGATGAGGGAAATGGGGATTCATGAGGGGGAAAGTGGGAGTGGCGGGAAAAGGGTTAAAAGGGGGGAAGGGTAAGTGATGGCAGAAAGGGGTAAGTAAGGGAAAGGGGCAAGTGGGGGAAAAAGAGGGGAGTTAAGAGGGGAATGGAATGGGTGAGCGAGGAATGAGGGAATTATAGGGAAATGGAGCAGGTGAGGGAGGAAAGTGGGTTTGTGAGGGGGAAAGGGGTAAGAGGAGGAAAAGGATGAGTGAGGGAAAAATGAAGGAGTGATGGTGGGAAGGAGGTGAGTGAGGAGGAAGAGGGGTGAATGGGGGAGTGGATATCAATGAGAGGAAAAGGTTTAAAAGGGGGAAAAGGAAGTGAGAGGGAATGGGGTAAGTGATGGCAGAAAGGGGGTAAGTGCGGGAGAAAGGGTGAATGAGTGGCTGTGAGAGTGAGGGGGAGGAAAGGGAAGGAGGGAGAAAGGCAAGGAAGTGAGGGAAGAGGGAAAGGGAGAGAGGAAGAGGAGCAAATGAGGGGGAAAGGGCTGAGTAGGGAAGGGATGAGTGAAAGGGAAAGGGTCTCTCCCTGTGCATGTGATCCAGAAAAATGCACAAAACACAGCTTAGCTGGCATCTCCCAAAGCTTTGGTGCTTGTAACATCTCTTCAGGACAGTTGTATCAAGCAACAATAAAAGTAGCACCATTCTTTGACATCTTCTTCCCAGATGTGCCTGTTGGACCCACACACAGCCTCTGGCACCTCCTGATAAGAAGCGTTTGATGTTTGGCAGTCACCAAGGCCACACGCTATGAGCAGAATCTCGTTTTTGTACCGGTCGGCCTGAACACCACATCCGGCACTGACACTGCTCAAGGTCTGTCCTGGTGTCAGCTGGGCTAGTGTTAATTGTGTCACTCTGTTGTTAATTTTCAGATGCTCTGGAGAAGTTTGGTCTGTGCAGAAGATGGGATTTCCAAAAGCAGAGGTCCCTGTGCCACCATGGGAGCTGCAGTGCCAGGATGGGTTTGCCTCTGCTCAGTCACCACCAGCACATTTCTTACCATTTATTTATTTGATTTCATGTGAAATAATTTGGTCAAGATTGGTCCCCACAAGCAGCAGAATCCCAAGAGAAATAAGATCTTTTTGTTAAAGAAAATGCATTACCTCATCCATCATGTAGGAAAAAAATCTGTGTGCAGGTGACCCTTCTCCACAAATACCAGGAAGATTCACCTCTTTGAATAATTCATTTGTTTTTTATTCGTGGGGTCAGCAATTCTTCAAAGCTCAGACCAATACAAATCATAAAGCATAACATTTTTATAATAGCTGCAGGTTCCTTTTGGGTGATACATGTCTTTAAGGGGAAAAAACCCCTCCTGTCAGGGAGCTGTGCAGAGCCAGAAGGTCCCTTCTCAGCCTCCTTTTCTTCAGGCTGAGCCCCTTTCCCAGCTCCCTCAGCTGCTCTCAAACAAACAAAAATTCACATGGGGGATCAGCGTTCCTTTTTCCCCAGGTAATTACAGGATTTTAGGAGAAGTTTGGTTTTCAGCAATTCTTGGCTGTGAGGATGGGGAAGCCATGGTTGCCCAGAGCAGCTGTGGCTGCCCCTGGATCCCTGGAAGTGTCCAAGGCCAGGCTGGACAGGGCTTGGAGCAGTCTGGGCTCATGGAAGGTGTCCCTGCCCATGAACTTTAAAATAGATTAACTTCTTCCAGACCAAAGCATTCTGGGATTCTATAGTTCTATGATTCCTAATGCTTCCCATGAGGAAACAGTTAGTCTGGACACCTGACTTTTGAAAGGTTTCAGTATTCAGCGTTCCCAACCCCTCAGTTCTGAGATAAGGGTTAAAATGACACAATTCTGATTTTACTGAGTGCAGCATCTGCTGGAAGCTCAATGCTGTTAGTGAGCATTTGGGCTGTGAACAACCTACAGCAATGAGAGGTCTGGGCAAAGCCCTGCTGAGGGGGGAAAGTGGGATTTCAGCTGAGCAGAGCTCTTTGTCAGGAGAGGGAATCGAGATGCCCCTGCTCTGGCACAGGACGCCTGCCCTCAGAGCTGGAGTTAAACCCCAGGGGAAGGACACTGTTATCTCCCCAAGCAGGCAGCAGCCACAAGTGCTGCTGCGGCATCCTCAGGGAAGAGGCAGGAAGGGGAATTAAATCTGACACACAATTAGAATAGAGTTTGCAAGTGCTCCTGGAATCCTGGAGAAAGCAAATGGAAATCAGGCAGAAGCTATTTCTAGGCTGAATTTGGGGTTGAAAGACACAGAAATAGGCTTTCACTAAGGACTAAATTCAAACCCTCCCAAGAATCCAAATTTAGTGTTAAGGCTCCCAGTGTCTGTGTGCCAGCTCGCAGAGCCTGGCTGCACAAGGGAAAGAAATACAAATATTATCAGGACAGACTCGTGACAATTAGCTGGGATAAACCTGAGGAGCTGTGCCTGACTCCCAGCTCCGGGAGCACTCGGAATCTTCATGCAGCTAAAGCCAGGCTGGGGGGCTCAGCACCTCTGGAAAATGTTATCTTCGAGGAGGAGGTTGCCGTATCTCGTTCCCATCACTCTTGCCTGGTGCAGGTGACAGCATCAACCAGCAGGTGCTGAACTCATCCACGGCCACGGGGCAGCGAGAGGAAAAAGAACTTGAGGGAAGCAGGAGCGGGAGTTCTGCAATCTCAGCCAGTCAGGAGCTGCGGTATTCCCAGGCGTGCCGCCGGGCAGGGGCTGCATTCCCAGCTCCGCAGGGCCCTGCAAGCACACAAAGAGCGGCTGAGCACGGGCAGATCCCGCCGGGAATGCGACCTTGGATGTCGGTGGAGCCGGGAGCGTGCGGGGATGGGCACCTCACCAGTCACATCCCATTACCAAGTACGGGGAGCAGCGAGGCAGGAACCCCCTTCCCTGCTCCTCCTCCTCCTCCTGCTCTGTGCCGGGAGGCACCGGGAGCACACGAGGTCTCCCAGCCCCAGAACAGCAGCTCTGGTCGCTGCCATGGCACCTCCTGCTCCTTCCAGATAATCTGACAAAATCAAACCGTGCCCAACCCGCTCCTGTCGATCTGTTGGAATGTACAACCCTACCCGAAGGTTTTCAGCTCGGAGGATCTTTACTAAAGGAGTAGCTGCACCTGCCGCCCAGGAGCTGTGTCCCTGTCAGGGGAGTGTCACAGCTCCAAACCACCCGCAGTCCCTGCACACAGGGGGTCAGCTCAGGACACAGTGAGGAACCTTTAACTGCCTTCCGTGGGGACTCTCCACCTCTGAGGGACATTTCTGTCATCACTCAAGCCAGCCTCTGCCTGTCACCCCCGGGAAGCCACCACAGCCTATTTGTCAACGAGATTCTGGCTCCAACCAACACCCCCGGGACAGCACAAGTGAGTTTCCAGCCAATGCTGCAGCAAGGCCACTGCTTCCCACTGAACACCCCAGCAAGATCCCTGCCTGGTCACCCTGGAAATGTGAGAGGTAAATGCCCTTCACCAGTGAACCCTGAGCTCTCACCCAGCCATCCCCCTGGGAATGCTTTCAGAAAGGGGACCTGGAAACCCACCTAGAAGAGCTTCTCGTAGCACTTGTCACAGTGGACAATGTCCCGGTGGATGAATATTTTATCCAGGAGATCTCCCATTGCTTTGTGGCAAATTCCACACTGCCAAAGGGAAAACAAGGAGGTTGGACAATGGGCAAAACCCCACACAGGAACAGCAGAAGGGAGGGGCAGAGGTCTCTGCATCATTTTATTAAAAGGTGAGGATGCAACCGTTGAGGCTGCACTTTCCTACAACAGCCAAATGTCCCTGCAGGCCTCTTCCTCCCACACTCCCCATCCTTCCTCTTCCCACCTTCCTCACATCCCCACACAACTTCCTTGCAAGCCCTGCAGGGTTTGAGGATTCAGCCACCTCCACTAGAGCACAAAGAGCACAAAGCAGCAAGTCTTCCCCAAGGACAGTGGGGCAAGGACATGAGGGTGTTCTGAGGATGCTGCCAATAATAAAGAATTCTCCTTGTTCTAACATTTGTTCAAGGACCTGAAAACCTTCTGGGGACACCTGTGACTGCCTGACTGTTTTTGTCCCAGTGTGAGGTAAGGATTTGGCACACCCTATGTATGCAAGGATTTGGCACACCCTCTGAAGGCCTGGAGATGGAATTTGCAGGAAGATCCCTGCTCCCAGCCCTGCCATTCCCAGCAGACAGGCACTTGGGCTTACCCTGAAGCAGTACTCGTGGCAGTGGATGTTCAGGTGCTCTATGATGATCTTGGGGCAGTCTCGGATCTCCCGGCTGCAGTAGCTGCACAGGGGCTCGCTGGACCTGGGAAGAACAGGGCAGTGGATGCCTCTGTGATGCTATGGTTCCAGTCCCAGCACTGGTGCCAGGGGTTTATCCCAGCCATCAGCACTGCTGTCCATCAGCAGCCTGCTCCCACAGGTGTAACTGTGTGAGTGACAGAAGAGGGGACTGTGCTGTCCCAGGGGTGCCCCACAGCAGTGGGGCAGGACAGATCTCAGAATACTACAGCTGTGGAATCATGGAATGGTTTGGGTGGGAAGGAACCTTAAAGCACATCCAGTTCCACCCCCTGCCATGGGCAAGGGCACCTTCCACCATCCCAGGGGGCTCCGAGCCCCAGTGTC